ATACTTTTAAGTTGTCAATTAAAGGTCAGATTCAGCGTTACTTTCACATTACGAGTTGTGATTTAAATTCTTTCAATAAGATAAGGAAGGAGTGGGTACTACTGCAGATTTTAGAAAGAACAAGCTTTAGAGACAGACTTGAGTTTGCCCCATCACTTACTAAATGGCTTCAGGCTCTTAAAATGGACTTTTATTATGAATATAAATATTACTATTATGTATATAATGTGTCTAATATGTATGTAGTATATAATATTAAGTAATATTACTTAGTATAGTATGTGAAATAGAATATTAAATAATGCTATTATCAAAAATAAGCTACTGACAAACAAGTTGGAGTCTGATTATCCAGGATGTACCTGCTAGCCAACTGTTGTCCACCTGACTCTGGAATATGATTGAACAGAAGCTCAATTCAACACCATTTATATCATGAAATCAACTATAGTAAAAAACTATGAGAAAAGCAAATTAGTTATGAACAAAAGAACAAAGACTCCTTATACATTTGACTTATGATTTAGAATCAGATCCTGTATACACTCAACAAACATTAACCCTCTCAATTCATTATCATTAATAAAGAATTCACAAAGATCCCCAGAAACATTATGTTTTTGTCAACGATGAAAACAGAAGAAACACAATCATTACAGTGACTTTTTGGTACATTTGGCTAAAGAAAATTTTGGAGGACAGTACAATATAGCTAACGTAGCTTTATACCAGGACTGCAGTATAGTCATTTTCAAAATGTGCAGGGGTCACAGGAGGCACAGCGAGAATATATGGAAAGATACAAATTTATCACATATAAGAAAAAAATTAATTATGTGATTTAACTTCTTAATGGACTGTAGATTAATGTGGTTGCTTTCATACACCTATATTTTCCGTTTTGAATTTATTTAATTGTGGCTGAGAAAGTAGAGTCAAAGAAAAATGGTGAGTTAAAAACAATAGGACTACTGTTGTTGAACATTTAAATTTTTTGCAAAAGGAATCAGTAAGTTCATTCCTTGGGGAATATATTATAATCTTCATTTGCCATTTAGAAAATGTCCTCTAAATTGTAAAGGCTGTTAAATATCAAAAAAACAAAACAACTACATTATGAGCTACAGACATAAGCTTCAGAGTTCTTATCATTACACTATAATGAATCATAAAACCTATCATTCTGCTCAACTTCTAAAAGAAGATCACTCACATTTTAACTAAATGTGAGATATGAGACAGAGGACCCTAGGCTTAGAAGTTCATCTCATTTTTGGTTGATCATAAGGTTAGTAGGAGCTAACTTGTATTCTGCACATGCTAAAAGAGCCAACTCAACCTATAACCACGCTAACAAAAATCTAGTCTTCAAATTGGCATGATATCCTATTATTTTCCAAAGCTCTAGTTGGCCACATTAGGTACCTGAATAATAGTAAATTTGGGAAAAAATGGCTGGGCTGGGAAAAGGTCTAGAAACCATGCCATGAGGAATAGTGTAAACAAAGTTTTAAAGCTTTTATAAAAGGTACTTGAGTCTAAAACTTTAAAAATACTCCCATTTTCAAAACTATAAATTGCAGTCATAATGCCCCCAACTCTGGATTCAGAGATAAATCAAAGTTTTGGCAACCCCCCCTCAGCAGAAGACAGCAATTAAAGCTATAACTATAGGTCAAATGCAACTAAAGTAGGATTTGAGATGTACAAAAGAATAAAACCTGAGCATCTGCATCGATGCTATCCACAGGTTTTGGTTTCTTGTTTGTAGTTTTTGCAGTTATTTTTTAGACAGGGTCTTGCTTTGTTGCCCAGGCTAAAGTGTGGAGTAGTATAATCACAGATCACTGTAATTTCAAACTCCTGGGTTCAAGCAATCCTCTCACCTCAGCCTCCTTACTAGCTGAGACTTTAAGGCATACTCCACATGCCCAGATCATTTTTAATTTTTTTGTAGAGATATTCTCTCACTATGTTGCTCAGGCTGGTCTTGAACTCCTGAGCTCAGGCGATGCCCCTGCATTGGCCTCCCAAAACACTGGGATTACAAAGGTTAGCCACTGTAACCAGCCCCATTCTATCATAACTTTCAATAGTCATGTCCATAAAACACACATACACGCACTTACTATATTGAACCACTGTTTACATATATTTTAAAAGGCAGGGGACTTTTGCCTAGAATAAGCATTCATATTAATGTTTACAACCCATTTATATAAATTCCATTTGCTACCTGATACTGGTGTGGAACTGCTACTGAAGAGATTACTTGGCAATAGCTCCAAGTTAAAATTGTGCTTGACGGACTTCCTTTTCTTACTTGAGAAAACATGAGATGAATCTACTGGCAGTTTACGTTTAGCATTTGGTGTAAGAATCACTGGTGATACAGATAGCTGGGCTGAAAAAAAATAACCAAGAAACCAATTTGTTGTTTCTCCTGCAGAGTTGATAAAATACAAAAGCTTTATGTAATTTCTTAAAAACTATTACTTAGAGCTAACCAAAAATTAATGGGGACACATTTACATTATCAATTATATGTCACATACCTAAATTAAAATCTGCACTTAGTTAAAACAAAAATAAGGAAGTAGCAAAATGCAAGACAAGAAATAGCAGTAACTTAAACCAAATAGATTTAAAGATGCGTATGATACACATTAAAGAATATTAATGTAGGGAAGAAACTGTAATCAAGAAATTGAAAAAAAACTAATCTATATATCATTTTGTAGGGAAGAAATTATAGTCAAGGAGTTGAAACAGAAACTAAAGTGAACAACCAGTTCATTTCATCACTATGGAAAACAAAAGATCATGCTGTCTCTTACTGACAGAATAATTTCAGCCACAAGCAAATTAGGACAAAAACTGAAGCAAACAATAAACTTCTGGTTCTAAAACAGAAACAAGGTTCAGCTATTCTCATGCACTCAACAGCATCTAAATTACAAACAGGAAAATATGATTAAGATTAAATATGTAACAATAGACTAAAAAGAAAAATCTTACCTACAATTTTGGGTTCATTATATCCAATGTAATTAGCAATGTCACAACATAGCACATAGTACAACTGCAGTCCCCATACCCCGGGCCACCAACTGATACCAGTCCATGGTCGGTTAGGGATGGGCCGCACAGTAAGAGGTGAGCAGCGGGCAAGCAAGTGAAAGTTCACCTGTATTGACAACCACTCCCCATCATCACCTGAGCTAGCCTCCTGTCAGATCAGCAGTAGCAGATTACCAAAAAAGCATGAACCCTACTGTAAGCTGTGCATGGGAGGGAGCTAGGGTATGTGCTCCTTCTGAGGATCCAATGCCTGATGATCTGAGGTGGAGCTGGGACCACCTAGTTGCAGAAAAATAGGCTCAGGGCTCCC